AAAAAACAGCCCAGACAGGATGATGAACTCATCTGAAATCGGTCTCATGCCCGTGCAGCATAAAGGTGAATCACATGATCTCTCATTCGTCACATCAAAGACCTCAGCTGAAATAAGATCGAGGGATCTACCCTCCTCTCCATCGGTATCCTCCAATCCCAGCGCCGAAGCTGCTCCTTCACCGGCGGCTGCATCCAACGGGGACGATCAGCACCAGCGGTCGACAGAGGTGAAGTTTGTGGCTGCAGCGGCTGCACAAATCAAGCGTAAGCGAGGTCGTCCACGGAAGTATACGTTTGATCCGTTCCCTTCTCAAGTAAGCGGTGCCCCACACACGCGCCTGGGTCTCTCCTCAGCATTTCCTACGGTTGAAGCAAATGGTCTGCTGCCAAGTGATCCTAATGGGTCGGGTGCCTTGGACCAGCCTAAGAAACCGCGCCTCGGTCGGCCCTCGAAGACTTACATATCTGCATCAAATACCACGGATACTTCTACAAGTATGAGGAGTGTTGAAGTGAAAGATCCACCCCATGGCTCTGCCGTGGGGGCCACCACATCTGAGCAAACCCATCAACAGCAGCTGCACCACGATTTGGTCTCGAATAAATTCCACTCTCCTACAGTTTCGACTGCTCTCTTTCCCAAAATCATCTCTTATCCTTCACAATCTCCCGCCCTCCTCAACGGGCACACCAATGGCGTTAACGGCACACCTAGCAGCACCGTTAATACAACTGCACAAATGGTTCATTCTTCTTCAGCTACGCTGTCCAATGCGCCTTTAAAGTCTTCAGCCCCGGTACTCATGGAGTACTACAATGGACCTTTCATTAACGGTGCGATTGCTGGCCCGGCGGCTGCGCTGATGTCTCCTCCCCCACCGCCGCCGATTCCTGCCACGCAATTAGCTGCCGCTGCTTGCAGCACTATGGAAGCTGGGTTAATCCGCCGACTTCTTCCGCAGGCTGAGGCGGCAGTGAGCGCCACTAGGGCCGGTGGCTACCCTGGTCCGCACGCGTGGACTGCAGAAATGGTAGGATCTTTCATTGCCACGTTGCCAGGCTGCCAAAATTTATCTCGGACGTTTGTCGAAAACGTAAGTCTCTCAAGTTCACTCCACTGCGCCTCATTTAGTTATTTGATACTTCGAAAACCTACCGTTTTTATCCACATCAGGAGATTGATGGCGCTGCACTGCTGTGTCTAGAACAGCATGACCTCATGTCGATTCTGAAGTTGAAACTTGGACCGGCAGTGAAAATTTTTGGAGCCATCAGAACCCTCCGCCAGGCCTTCCTTTCTATTCCGTATAATGATTTGACTGCAGATCACTCATCAATGTTGGCCACTGTGGTCTCCTGTTTCCCACCACTCACTGCTGTGTCAGCAACTCAGACGTCGGGTTCGGCAACGGGCAGTAGCGCTGCTTTCTCCATAAACAATCTGGCTGTAGAGGAGGCATCATCTGCTGGTTCACCACCGCCTTCGGGATCTGTCGGAGTAGTCGTCGTGAATGGAGCTGGAGGACGTGGTTCACCGTCGCTGGTTGTTGGGACTGCAGAGAAACCCAATCATTAGTGCTGGAAATAATAGCAAGTGAGTCAGCAGCTGGTATAGGGGTACCCGGAAGCTGGTGCCTTTTTTCAACAAGTGACCTCTATTTTTTTTTGTTCACAGCATCGAACATACATTCCTCCCTCCCTACTCGCCCGCCTCGTTCCTTCGCCACCACTGTGCTACTGAATTAATATACTTGAACCCATTGCTCTTTTTACGAGTCATCTTATCACTGTATATTACGATTGTCACAAATAAAAGTTTTATATAGTAATTGTTAAATGGGATTGTTTCTCATTCGTTATATTGGTGTGTTAACGTTTACAACTGACATCTGAGGTGTTAGACTAGATTTTGCATGGAGGTCTTGTTAAGAAATGGGTGCGAAAATCATAGTATGGTCAAAAGAAAAGCTTGAGGCCTTTTTGACGGAGGAATCGTTTGTGCTAAAAATTCCTATTTGGCCTGTCGTGAGTAGCATCAACGAGGGACATGAATCCCCACAGCTTTAAGTGACCGCCTATTATCGGGTGCTTATCTGACTTTTCTTGGAGTTAGTAGAATTCCCAACCTTCCATATTCTCATTATGACTGTGGTATTTATGTGCAGGCAACGTATATTTCAAATACAATGGTAGATTAAAGCAATAAGCTGTGGTGGCCTTATGCCGCCACAATTTGCGCAGCAATCGAATTCCACCTTATTTGTCGATTTAAAGGTAAGTACTTGGAGCATTTATCTGCCTTATGGATCCGAAGTTCTTTAATAAAACCTGCCGACACTGCGTACAATGCGTTGAATCATGCGGTAAATTGCCAACCAAAGTCAAATACTGGATTATAAAATAATTTAGAATGAGGGACTAGGGAGTCAAAAATAAACATCAACTAGTTACACATTTGCAGCTTTCGGTACGCGCTTGTTTCAGTTACAGAAGCTGCATCCATCGTGCCACTGCAAATAGGCTGGGCCTTGGGACACACGAGGTAGAGGTTTTGGCCTTCGCGTCGCTGGTGAGTTGAAGGACTGCGCGCACATCTGAGTCGTGGCATTCATATCACACAGGTATTTGACAAGTCAGTTTGGTTACCCTATGAAATATTTATCTTATATACATAAACATACATCAAATGATGACATTTATGCGGCTTCTCCCAAAGTGTAAATAAGACGAAATTGAGTAACAATGCAATTGACTTTAGACCATGTCAACCACATTCGCTTTCGGCATCAGAATTTTGGAGAAAAATGCAGACGCTTTATCATACTGTATTGCAGTGATTAGTTTATCGAAAAATTTGGCAGAGGTTAGGCAGCCAATCCTTAAGATACCACTTTGTGTCGAAAATTGCACTTTAGAAGCTTGAAATTAGTGGGAATATTTCATTCCAATTACAACTGTGTGCGCGAACAAATTCCTTAAAACCTTGAGAAGTGATTTAAGCTTTGTTTTCTGACCTCTTCAAACTACTCATTGTTCCAGCGGTGAAAGGCTTCTTCACTTGACTGACGATGGAGACGCCGGTGGTCTTTCATAACTTAAGACGCTTTAGGGTTCGCCTGAAGTTTTGACACTTAAAGGCTAGTAATGAGCCGTTTCACTTGGATCGTTGTTTGAGAAGCATGATTTTGACAGACACAATAAATCACTGAAAAATAAGCCAACATCAGATTGAAACATGGATAAGTCGGTTGCTATGTATACCTATATTCTGCGTAGGTACTGGTATTAATTTGCTGTGGTAAATTTTCAACGACGTGTTCGGTAGAATTTGGATAATTACAACACCGGTTTCAACGAAATTTTGCAAAAGTTTAATGCTTTAAGCAATGAAATACCTCGTTCACTGCAAATGTGCATGAAAAGTACATATCGTGTGACGGGAATATTAATTCTAAAAATGAGTGCAAAATCTGCTATGAAAATCTGCTCGCAAATACAAGCAAGTTATCTTCAGCCCTTTTTACATCGCTTATCAAACAAGACTTAGAAATAAATTGGTACGAAAATTGTTAATATCGAAAAATAAGCTGTCAACGGCATTGAGATGTTCCATTTTGAAAAGCCTAACCGATAGAAGACAGCGTAAAACTTACATTTTTTTCAGTTTATCCTCTGAACGCAAAAACCTGGGCTTGTCTAAGGAAAAATGGTTTAAGACATCCATAATTGGTGTGCAGACACGAAAGCAGTACTGATTAAACAAAAAATGTAGCACAACTTGTCAGTTTGGAGTTTGTTCTTTGAATCTAGCCATAGCAATTGCAATGTATACTGGTTGTTTAAATCTGCCATGTGGGTTGAAGGCGAGGATTTTAACAGAAACATGTTTTGGGAGGGGCTAGCGGACCTCTCTAGCGTGAGCGGAGATTGAGTGCTTTCGTCTTCCTCTCTATTGTGCTATTAACCCTTTTTACTCACTTTGCAAACTAAAGTTTCCCAAAGCTTTCATGCTCATTCGAGGTATGCCTAAAGGGAAATGGAAGGAAACGATGAAGACGCTACACTAATGTATACGTAATCCGTTTATTTTGTTAAACGCAATTAACAGACCAGCAAAAAGGAAATGAAGGCGGGCATTGTTAGTGAAGAAAGCTTTATAATAAGGAAATAAAAGGTATTTTTGAGCTGCTTAAGTTGCCCATAAAATAATAATTATAACTTATTAAAATTACGGGAATATTAATATTATTCTAGTGGGTATCTTTCTGAATCAATGCTCTACATTATTAGGCTACAAGAAGATTTTTAGTTTTGGGAATTTCCAGAAGGGAATGATTTTGCGCATAAGCAGTTTAAGTAAATAGGGATAAAGGTGGAAGTTAAAGCATTGACCTTCCGATTCAATTACGTAATGTTTATGCATGCTGCTTGTGAAGGCTGCAAGCTCAATTAGTCTGGTGGCACTTTCTTTCGAAATAATACACGGAGAGGATGACCAGTTCTCCCTTGTTTGTTAATTATTTTATCGAGGACCGCACTTGGGAGGTCACCGAGCTCCTTTAATCTGAAGGAGCAGTGCAGAGTGTGCTGAAGGGAGCGCATGCTTTGCATACTTGCAAAAAAGAAGTTTCAATCCTTCCAATTTTAGATGATGCAAAAGCAATGATGACAATGTTTTAGGAGAATGTTTCACCAATTACACCTAAGTCCACGTCAGAAAGGAGCAGCGCCTCTGTAGAAGCTGCTGGTGATTTCTTCATGTTATAAAAAACATTATTAATGCTTAAGTGCTAGTAAGTGCGATAGCAGCAGTGATGTCAATTTAAGAAAATCTTCGTCAAGGAAAAAAATTGTCGAGAATTTGAAAAAGACGCATGTTACAATAATCATCCCTTTTTGGCGACATTTTGGTCGTTATCAGGTAAGTAAAATATTGGAAGTAAATCTTATCAGCATTTGTCTGGACGCTTGCTTTTAAGGCCAAGTTAAGCTAA